TCTTAGTTAGGACTGAGCTCCACAACTCTTGTGGAGCTTTTTGTAAGTTGTGGTTTTCTGTAATAGTTTGAGTGTTTTGTAAAGGGAAGTTTCCTTGATGAGGGGTGAAAACTACAGTTCTCCAGCTAGACTCTCAAGAAGCTTGTGTTTTTGAAACATAGTCTCCCTACTTAGTTTTGGCTGTCCTGGAATTCACTATGTTGACCAGGCTGGCCTTGAACTCATGAAGATATACCTGCCTCTGCCTCTGCCTCTCAAATGCTAAGATTAAAGGCATGCACCACCACCACTGACACTTGAACTTGTCATTTTTTTCTTTTTTTTTTTTTTTTAAGATTTATTATTTATACAACATTCTGCCTGTACACCAGGTCTTACTATAGATGGTTGTGAGCTAACATGTCATTGTTGGGAATTGAACTCAGGACATTTGGAAGAACAGTGAGTGTTCTTACCTCTGAGCCATCTCTTCAGCCCGAACTTCTCTTTTTTTTTTTTAATTAATTTATTTTTATTAATTACAGTTTATTCACTTTGTATCCCAGCTGTAGCCCCTTCCCTCCTTCCCTCATCTCCTCCCAGAACTTCTTTTATTTAACCATAAACAACTCAAGGACAAGGGCCAGATGTTTTTAGTTTATATTACTCTTTTTACGGAGATTGGAGCCAAAATTCACGTTGGTTAGAGAAGATGGAAAGATGATGTTTAAACTGCAGTTAAGAGTGTCCCTTACACTCCTTACACCACAGGGAGGGATGCGGCTTGTCTAAGTGCGAGCTCCTAGTGTGAGAAAAGACAAACTACTGTGTGTGTTACTTGATTTATGTTCTTCTCTTTTTGCCCCCTGTGCTTGCAGTTTTATAAAAATGGAGTTTCAAGCTGTAGTTATGGCTGTGGGTGGAGGATCTCGGATGACCGACTTGACTTCTAGCATTCCCAAGCCTCTGCTTCCAGTTGGAAACAAACCTTTAATTTGGTACCCGCTGAACCTGCTTGAGCGTGTTGGATTTGAAGGTGAGCTTTGGCAATGATAGATGCATTCATAAAACTTTTAGTGAGTTTAATCCCAATAATTTGTCAGCATTATGAGAGTGAGCGAGGATAGATGATAGCAGACTAGGGCTTAAAGTTTGCTGGAGACGGACTCTTGAGTTAGGGACCCAGGAATATAAAAAAATGAGAACATAGGACTAAACATTGATGTTAAAGAAGGGGTTCTCCACAGTGATTTGAGATGGGTCCTATAAGGACATCTGAAAGACGAGATTGGGAATCTAACTACCTGGTTGTCAGTACTTGTTTGAGAATCTGTGATGTGCTGGATAATATTTAAGCATGAGAACAAAACCAACTCAGGCACTGACTTCTAGAACCTTCCTTAAATCTGATAGCAAGAGTTTTTGTCTATTTATTGCTTGGGTCAGATTAGAGAGATGGTGATACCATTAAATGGGAAAAGAAATATGAGACAGGAACAAAGTTTTGGCCATATTGAGTTTGAGGTATCATTAAGTATAATGAATTAAAATGCAGCATATCAGGGTGCCAGATCCTAGGGCCCAGACTGCTGCAAGAGGGTTAATTCAACTGTGAGAGTTAGACCTATAAACATTTCTGTGCAGCGGTCTGGGTTTTAAAGATTGTCTTTCTTGGGGCTGGAGAGAAGGCTCAGTGCTTAAGAGCACTTGCTGCTTTTCCAGAGGAACTGGAATTCAGTTCCCAGTACCCACATGGCAGCTCAGACCCCAGATCACAATGGTCTGTAACTGCAGCTTCGGGGAATCTGATATTCTGTTCTGGCCTCTGGGGGCACTGCATACAAATGCACACAGATACACACATAACACATATAAAAAGAAATCCTTTTTATGTTTTCTTTTTTTAGGTTTATTTATTTTATGAGTACGAATGTTTTGTCTGCACGTGTGTGTGTGCACCAAGTACATGCCCGGTGCCCACAGAGGTCAGAAGAGTGTCCGATCCCTTAGAATTGAAGTCACGGGTAGTTGTAAGCTGCCAAGTGGGTACTGGTTATTGAACCCTGGTCTTCTGCAAGAGCAACAAGTGCTCTTAACCACTGAGCTATCTCTCCAGCCCCTAAATCCTTTTTCAAAAATCTTTTCATATAAAAATCTTTTCATGTAAAATTTTTTTAAAGATTTATTTATTTATCTATAGGAGCGCTCTGTTTTCATGCATACCAGAAGGAGGAATCAGATCCCATTACAGATGTTTGTGGTTGCTGGGAATTGAACTCTGAAAGAGCAGCCAGTGCTCTTAACTGTTGAGCCATCTCTCTAGCCCTCATATAAAATTTTTGTTACATTTTATTGATGTATTTTTTGGGTGGGAGAGTAGGCATGGGTGTGCAGATGTAGGTCAGAGGACAACCTTCAAGAATTGCTTTGACAGTAAATCCTTGAAATTCCACTCAGGGTCAGGCTTGGCAGTCAGTGCTGAGCCATTTTATTAGTCCTTTTCACTTTACTTACTGTTGTTTTAAGAGGTCTGTTTCACAAATTAAAGAATTTATGGTACCCTAATACATTTTTAAACAGCTTCTTTTTCACTGGTGGCGGTGTAAACTTGTAATCCTACCTACTCAGGAGGCTGAGGCAGGAGGATCACAAGTTCAGTGACAGTCTAGAAAACTGATAGGGTTCTTATCTCTAGAAAAATAGAAGAAGATATCTTCCTTCCTTTAGTAACTTTATGGATTTGTCATCTGCAACTTTGTGCTTCTTACTGTTGTTACGTAATTTTTGTATGCTTATGTTATATAAGTTCGTACTCAGCAGTAGCATTTTGTTGTATATGTTAGACCTACTATGTACATACAATTCTTTCTTACTGAGGCCCTCTCAGAATTTGTGGAGTGCTTCCTAAATGTAGAATTTTTATTAATTAGTTAAGTTTTTGAAAAAAATGAGTGTATATGAGTGTTTTGCCTGCATGTATGTAAGTGTAATGTGTTCATGCCTGTTGCTTGCCAAGGCCAGAGAGGGATTTATTTTTATATGTGTGTTTGCCAGAATGTATATATGTGTAGCACATACACACATTCATACTACCTCTCTCTATATATACAGGGTTTCTCTGTGTAGCCCTGGCTGTCCTGGAACTCTGTAGTCTTCAAACTCAGATCCATCTGCCTCCTGGGATTAAAGGTGTGGGCCACTACCGCTCAGCTGAGCAGCTAGCACTCTTAACAGCCGAGCCATCTTCCCAGTCTCTAATTAATTATTACTATTTTGTTTGTTTGTATTTTCAAGGCAAGGTCTCTACGTAGCAGCTCTTGCTGACCTAGATAGAACTCACTATAGACAAAGTTGGCCCTGAACTCAGAGATCCACCTGCTTCTGTCTTCGGATCAGTGAGATTACGTCTGCAGTTACATCCAGCTTAATTAATTAATTAACTAATTATTTTAGAGAAAGCATGTTTGTTTGTTTGTATTTTATGTGTATTGGTGTTTTGCCTGCATGGATGTCGGCTGTGAGGGTGTTGGAGCCTAGAGTTACCGACAGTTGTGAACTGCCATGTGGGTGCTGAGAATTGAACCTGGGTCCTCTGGAAGAGCTCTTAACCACTGAGCCATCTCTCCAGCCCCTAATTAATTTTTTGAGACACAGTTGCAAACTTGTGTGTTTGAAGATGACCTCGGAGTTTCATCCTATTGCATGTACTTCGTGAGTTCTGGGATTGTAGATATATGCCACCAACTAAAGTGTGAGCAGTGCTGGGGATAGAATGCATGACTTCATGCATATAGGCACCAGCTGAGCTATATCTTGGCCCTCAATGTGGAATTTTTAAGATTTTGTATGCACTTATTTTGTGTGTGTGTGCAGCTAAGTACGCGTGTGTGCATGCATGCAGTGGCTCATGTGTGGAGGTCAGAGGACAACCTTTTGGAGTCAGTAGTTCTCTCCTTCCACTATATGAGTTCAGGTCAGTGGACTCACGCGAGCGCCCTTACATTTCACCAGCCCCTGCTGTATATAGGTTCTTTATATTTTATAGTAACTATAAACTGGGATCCTCAAACCTGCTAGGTAAATGCCTTACCACTAGGCCATATCTCCATCTCTCTTTATTTCTTTCCCTTAAAAATACCAACACAGTAAGAACAGACTCTCACCAAGTTGCTAAAGCCAGCCTTGAATTTACAATCTTCCCAACTCAGCTTCCCAAACAGCTGGGTTTTCAGGCCTGCACTAACACCTGGTAAATGTTTTGGGGTGGTTTTTGTTTGTTTGTTTTTGTTTATTTTTTAAGAAAACAAAACAAAAAACTCATAGCCCTGTCTGATCTGGAACTCACTATGCAACCTGGGCTGGCCTTGAACTCACAGAGATCTGCTTGCCTCTGCCTCCTGAGTGCCTCCTGGAATTAAATTAATGCGCCACCATTCCTGGCTGGTTTTATTTTTATATTATGTGTATTGGCATTTGCTTGCATGTATGTACATGCACCACATGTACAATTACCTGCAGAAGCCGGAAGAGAGCGTTGATGGTCTGAAACTGTAATTATAGGTGGCGTTGGCCCTTATCTGGGTGCTGGGAAACAAACCCAGTTCCTGTAAGAGCAGCAAATGCCTTAATGGCAGAGCCATTTCTCTGTCCCTGTGGTTTTTACTTACAGAGGGTGATTGTTGTAAGACTTAATTGAAAACATGCATCTGCAAGGTGAGGGCCAGTGAGATAGCTTAGTCTGCAAAAGCCACCTGGCAACCCTAGTTCAGGGTCTGGAACCCCAGCAAAGGTGGGTGGGAAGAATGCACAGAGGAGCCTAATCTCCACCCACAAGAACAAGCACATACACACACACTTTTTGTGTGTGATGATAAGGGCTGGGGAGTGGATTTGGGGGTAAATATGATCAAAATATATGCATGCATGAAATTCTCAGAAATTAATAAAAAATACATTAAAATAGTGTTCTCTTCGGCAGCACATCCACTAAAATGGGAATGCCACAGA